AAAAAAAAACATGAATACATAATCACAATTAACATACTGGCTGTGATTAGAGTAACATCTTCGAATTGCTGTTCGATTCCATACAATAAGACCAACTATTAATAAAATAGCCATTATTATAATGCCTATCAGCCATAGTGAAGATGAATCTTGTTTTTTCGACGGAACTATTGCAATAATAAAATGAAAACAAAACGAAAGGTTCTCTGTCTATTCAATTAAGAAAACTATCTTCTCAAAATGTCGAAAATAACTCACGTGATTTTGTCTTAAATGCTTTTGAAAGAACATATGTACAGCCGACCGCTGTACAACCTCCAACAAGCACTCTACAAATATTTATTTCAATGTAATAAGATTCAGAAATAAAATTCTCACTTGTATCTAGTGCCTGCTTTTAATGGACCATTACATATCCTTGAATTCATACAATCTGTTTCACTTCCGAGTATTAAACTGATATTCTTAGCAACGTTCATTGTTTGACTAAGAGAAAATTTCGAATTCGATAAATAATGTTTTATATTAATCTTACGCGTTATCGCCTGTTGAAGTAAAAATTGGAATTTCAGCAGCAAGATAATCAATTGAAGGATCATAGATAGAATTTTCATATATACTGCTAATATCCGGTTCTTCTTTGATCTTTTGCATATCTTTATAATAGTGAATGCATCAAACCATTTTGTTTTTAGAGTAGACTACTACTTCTCATTCTCTCTCTCTTACCTTGGCGAACGTAAACTAAATAGTGAAGAATCAAGCCATTGTCGCTTGAGAACAATGACTCATCAATATAGATATGATATTGCGTCCAAGTCAAATTTCGATCGTCATCGACAACAATAATTTTCTTTGCAACATCAGCTTTACTAGGCTTTTCAGGAGCTTTGCAGCAAAGTCAATGAGAAATAAAATGAATGAGAATTATATATAAACAAGTTTACCATCCTCTTTTGTTCGATTATAAATTTTATCCGATGATATTCTTTGATTCGAAATGAGTTCTACATGCAGCGAGTATCTGAAAATGATTAATTGTGGTGATATTAGATGTGATCAATGAGATCTTTACTGAAGTTTCAAATTAATGACATTTGAATAGATTAATACTTACAGTCGATTGGGATGAATATTTTTCGTGTATTGAAATGAACGAGCTGTCACATCCGAAATCGACATACTCTCATCGTTGACAACAACAGAAAAGTAATCGATATAAGTAGGCTCATCAATTGTCCAATGTACTGCTATATATCGAGCACCCCATCTAGATGAAATTATGATCGGTTTTGGAGGTGCTAAATCATTAATAATCATATGTAGTTTTTAATCGAATTGTTCACTACCTACGAATAGTGATATTGAAATTCGCTGAGTGTACGTTAGGATAATCCCGCTTTTTTGTTAAAAATGAGCATGTATAATCACATCCTAAAATGTTGTTGAATTTCAATGTTAATTTTGTTAAACATTGATTATGAGTTGTGTTCATGTCAATACAAATCGGTTTTTGATTAGGTTTCGTCTTGCATACGGTTTCAATATTATCAAAATCACTTTGTGGGATAACATTTATGCTTAAGTCAGTCACATTTCTTAGCCATGTCGGTTGATAGATTACAGGTATTAGAGCTAACAAAACAATAACCAATAAACGGTTTGTATAGTCTATCAAAGAGTTCAAGTTCACTTACGTGTAGTGAAATTTACCGCTTCATATTGTACGGAACTAACTCCTGATCTGGAAGTATTTGCCCAACATATATATTTGAGACCTCCCACAATTGGAGTAATAGCCATATGTGTACAATTAGTACAAGTGCTGTGAATGCTGCCTGTTAAATGAGAACTTAAATTTTCACAGCGTTGATAGGATGCATTGCAAATAATATGAATATAATCGAAAAGACCTTGTGGCATTGTGAAATAAATTAATGCTACAGTAATATTGATCTTGTTTAATTCGACTCGGAAATTGGTTGCTTTATTTGGTTCTAAAATCCGAAAACAGAATTAATAATAATTTCGATCATCATTTCAGATCTTATTAAATTCTGTAGCTACTAAAATAAATTTTTTAAATATCATGGTTTAATTTAAACCGAGTTAATTTACATCTATAGATCCGCTATAAACCGAATTAGAAAAGCTGCTTTTTTTCCAAGAAGCTTTTTGTCTTGCCTGTGTTGAAATTGGATGGTAGCACATCCTTTTCAAATCTACCACTGATTTTTTGCATTCCATCATATCTGTTAATAGGATTACGAATGACTACTATAGCATAAATGACACCTGGTTTCACAGGACATGTAAATGTGCAGTTGTTCGAAAGAGGTTTTTGTTGACTATTATCTCTTCCACATCGGGCGCTAAGATATTTCATTTCTGCTGCTTGATGACATTGAGGTGCAAAGATTGATGCTTCTGTGATGGCTTCATTAATTTTTATGTTCAATTTCGTTATATGTTTGAGAGGCACTGGTTCAAGTGTGATAATAAATGTTTCGTTTGCAATACGTGACTTGTGGCCACTTATACTCCCAAAGACAAATTTCCAATCTTGACCCGGTTTATTTACAATATTATTACAAGTGATGATAACATTTGTACGGTTAATGATAGGGAAATCATAAATCAAGTAAATTGTGCATTGTGTTGAAATGATATTATCTTTAAACACAGCTAACTTTTGAGAATTAGAAATTAAACAATCATAAGAAATATTGAGCATAAACATAGTCGATGTACGTTTCATCAATTTAATAGCAGATGATTGCTTACTATTACAAGCTTTACCTATAACATCAAGCATTCAAAAATCAGAGAATATATTAATTATCTCATAATATTATTACTTT